AGTGATCTGCATATCAGCACAAAGTATTTGGAAGACTGCACAAGATTTGTAATTCAAGCACCAGCACTTCATAGCAGAGACTGCATCATATGAACACAGAGGACGTTTGTTGGGGACTATAAGCATGGTTTGGGTAATCTCTTGTAAAAAAAATGTATTTGAAGCATTTTGAGGATGGCCGCGCAGGGTGGCGCTGTGAGTATGGATGTACCTTTTAAATAAGGCAAAAATATGCATTGTACAGAAACAGAGAAAAAATGCAGTAATTAGAGTTATTTATATATAGAGTGTTCCAATTAGCTGGCAAGATTTCCACAAGATGCCAAAATATTTGTCTGTATTGAAGCTTTTCCTCATTTAACTTCTGCATGAAGGTGTCTTACTCAACACACCTGACTCTGCACCTCCCATGGCTTAGTGATAGCAGACAAGTCGCATCCTGTCATCATCATGGCCCTGCAGTAAAACAAATACATGAAATTCTTATACGAGCTACAGAGCTGAATGATCCTTTTTATCATGGCTGTTTGATTGTTGAACTCACATGATTATCTCTTTTTTCGTTGGGTCAGCGATAATATATTTTATCACATCTGCTTCTGATTGCATCTGCTCAGCCGTATCAACAATTTTTTGAAACATAGTCCTTTTCCTGTGAGACAAACAGACTGGAGTGTCATAACATTCAACCTAAATTGCAGAGGATAGATGAATATCTAGAAAGGCTAAAAATGACTCCTGTATATAAAGTGCAACTTCTCTATGTATTAGGGGTAATTTCCAGTTTACTCAGTGAAAGCTGATCTCCCTTTTTTGATGTAAGTATTCTGGGTATCAAATATTCAGTGTCCCTGTCTTATTTATATGTCCTTGCAGTGGTATTGTTTACTCTGGACGTATTAATAATTATAGTAATGGATTTCAATGCGTATGTTGCAAGAGAAAATCTGAAGAGAAATTTCGCAGAACTGAGCTCTGCTGGCCCACAAAGGGAGCATGGTTTAAAATGGAACTAAACCCATGGATCTAACAGTGTCCCAAAACAGATGCATTCAAGGCATACTGTAAATGATAACTGTCACAGTTGCTTGTGTTCTCAACTGAACTGTCAAGCCATCAACTTGCTGGCATCATAGCTGATCACATGTGCAGCACCTTGGAAATCAAACAGAGATTAAAGGATAAATTCACCTTTCCACAAAAAATAATAAATGCATTTTTTTGCAGATGAAAAAATGTGCATTTAATTTTTTTTTTCTAGGAATCTGTAAAACATTGCACCAGCGATCAGCAGATCGCTGGTGCCATGCAGATCTCCTGTAGACTGTCAGTGTATCTGCTTGCTCGTACATCCCGTATGGGCAAGTCGATCCTTGCTGACAGGAAGACTCAGAGAATTACCACAGTGCTCACAGTGCCATGGAAGTTCACTGAGGACTACAAGCCTACAGCCCAGGGGCGGACTGACAACTCATGGGGCCCCCAGGCAATAGGGGATCATGGGGCCCCTGTGTCCTTGCCCAAACTCAAAAAAGCCTATAAAAAAGGTACCAGGGGCATCTCATGGGGCCTCCTACTGACTCCAGGCCTTCGGGCAGTGCCTGAGTTTCCAAATGGTCAGTCCGTCCCTGCTACAGCCACTAAGGCTTAACCACTTCCCATCCAACCCATGTACATAAATGGGCAGATGGGAGCAGTACAGGAGCAGGCTGCTGTTTATAAACGGTGCCCGCACTCACAGCCTGCGCGTGCTCCCTTGGAGCGTGTGGCACCGCGATCCGGTGCCCACTGTGTCCGAAGGACACAGCAGAACACCGATCGGTGTATGAGACCTCTGTGTGAGGTCACAATCATGTGATCACTGATTGGCCAATCAGTGATCACATGAATAGTAGCAAGCAAGATGTCACTTGCTGACATCATTGCTTACTATTAGTGAAATCTGTGAATGATCACAGAGGTCACATGGTACAAGGCTATTCACAACAGCCTTGTACCATGTGACAAGCTGTGACCAATCACAGCTCTCACAGTATTTCTCAATGGCTGCAAAAATGCAGTTAGAGAGAAGGAGAAATTATTGCTTTTACAGCCTTTATAAGTGTAAAAGCAATCAGTGTAAAAAACAAAAAAAAACTATTCTTCATCACTCCCACAAATAGTACAGTGTCACTATGGTTACACTACTGCTAGGGTGACACTATGTTAAAAAAAATAATATATACAAATAAAATAAAAATGTAAAATTAAAATTTAGCAAAATTATAATTTTTTGTTATAAACTAATTTGGGTTATTTTTTTTTTACTAAAAAGATAGCTGAATAAATTTTGGCCAAGATTTATGAAGAAAGATTATTTATTTGCAAAATTGTATAAGAAAAACACACTTTTTTTTTTCAAAATTTTTTGACTTTTTTATTTATATAGCAAAAAAAAAATAAAAAATCCCAGTGGTGAATAGATACCACCAAAATACATTTTTATCTGTCTCAAAAAAATGCTAAAAAATTCATATGGGTACAGTGTTGCATGACCGCGCAATTGTCATTCAAAGTGTGATAGCACTGAAAGCTGAAAATTGGCCTGGACAGGAAGGGGGTGAAAGTGTCTGGACTTGAAGTGGTTAATAGAACCTTGTGAATTAATGACGTGGTCGTGGGGGCAAAGCTGTTTTTGAAAACTGACAGCTACGTCTGTCATGGTGGGGGGGGCAGCAGATGACAGCTTCTTTGGCTGTAAAGTATATGCAGTTTTAGTTCTTTAAATCCCATTTTTCGTTCTTTAAACCCCCCTTAACCCCTTGGCGCCGGCACCTCCCGGCCCTTTAAGGGTTTCAGAAGCCAGGAGGAGGGACGGGGTTTTAGAGTCATGTGAACACCGTGATTCACTATCACGGCGGTCATATGATCGGGAAAGGTCCCAATCGAAAGAGGAGATTGGGACCTTTCCGTGAGTACCGGACATGCGCGCAGGGTGCGTGCTCTCACTACATATGTTTTTCTTAATTGCACGCAAGGCCCAGATGTCGGGAGACCGCACATTTGCATGTGGCCGGCGCCAAGAGGTTAAAGGTTGGATTCAGACTGTTGCATTGCTTTAGTGCACTTGCTCCCTCCTTTTCCCAAACTAAAAGCTTTAAAAGCACATTTTATCAAAGGCCACTGAATAAAGCTATAGGATACCCTGAAGTCACCCCTCCTCATAGTTCATATCTTGTATAATGTAGGCCTAGCAGTAGTTTCTGTTACCCAAAGATTTTCTTCAGATGAAAACAAGGGCATACAATACGAGTTTAGGAGCTGCGAATATAGTACATTGAATCAGAATGCCTGCAGTGACAGATTAGTTGTCATGGACAGAAGCATATGATAATTGATCGTAGTATTGTAAGACACAAAGAGCTACATTTTGTTACTTGAGTAATAGTGAAAACATGCCAGTAAACATGAGAAAAAATCCACAGACATGCCACAAGGTCGCTGCCAAAAAGCCAACCTGGATCATTAACAGAAGGAGAAAAAGGGGAACTCTACCTACAGAGATACAGAAGGCAGAAGTGGTGTGCACGAAACCAAACAAAAGAACCAAAAAACAATAAAACGCTGCTAAAATAAATGTACAAAAGTTTAACTAGTGCAATTTAAAAAAACAATGAAATCCAAAAGCCTATATAAAGGCTGTGAACAATGCTATCTCCCTTTACCAGCAGCGATGCACCTACTGCATATCTCAGGCAATTAGGCATAACAACATTAAATAACCAATTAGTGCAGCACTTAGTATACATTAAAACATAAATATCAGTACCATTTGTGAGGAATGGACTGGCCAGCAATAGTGGGACTCAGCTGCCTTATGAGCTGCAGTACCAGGGCTGGCCAGCGGGTGCTCCCAGCAATCAGAGACTCAACCTTGCAGCCAGTCAAACACCTGGAACTAATTATACTGGTGTATTTAAGGGACATTCAGACTTACAGACTCGGCCTTGGTGTTGTGTTTCTCTTGGGCCCTGTATCCTGTTCCTGCTCTCTGTTCCTGTCTGATTCTCTGCTGACCCTGCTCTGATCCCTGGCTTGTCTGACCATTCTCCTCTGCCTGACCCTCTGTACCATGCTGCCCGCTACTTTCTGAACCTGGCCTGTGACCCCGACCATTCTCCGCTTGCTCCCCCTGTACCTACCTGCCTGACTGATATTGACCCGGCCTGCCTGACGACGCTTGCATTGTATGTACTGTTATCTGTGGGTGGTTGGTTGGTTTGTTTGCACTGTGTTATGTTTTAGTATTGCACTGCGTTTATGTTTGTATGGTTAGTGTTAATAAATTACATTGTTTATAACATATCTGAAGTCTGCGTTTCCCTGCGTCAGTCACACACCTCTGGTCATACCCGGGAGCCCTGACATTACACCAAGGCCAATCCTGACCAGAAGTGGCTGCACAGGGAAGCCATCTTGGCTTGTTGATGGGAAGGATGGATCTGGATGAGGTTGCGTATTTATATCTGCTAGTGTTTGATGACAGGGAGTATGCTTATCAAACTCTGAAGGAGTATACCCGGGATGAACTGCTAGAATGTATACGGCTCGCTCATGTTCTAGTAGATCAGGGCACAGAGTTCTCTGAGGTGCAGCCTTTGATTGAGGTTTGTGCTGAGTTGGTTTCATCTGGTACCCCCGAATGCAGGGATGAATCCGGCGCCCGCCGCTCCGCCTGAGGGCCCGAGACCTGTCGCTCCATCGGGGGGCCCGATGCCTGTCGCCCCGCCTGGGGGCCCGACCCTGAAGCCTCGCTACTCACCTGTCGCCCCCGCCTGGGGGCCCGACGCCTGTCGTCGCCCCGCCTGGGGGCCCGACGCCTGTCGCCCCGCCTGGGGGCCCAACCCCTGTCGCCCCTCCTGGGGGCCCGCGCCCGCCGCCCCCGCCTGGGGGGACCCGATGCCGGTCGCCCCGCCCGGGGGCCCGATGCCTGTTGCCCCCGCCCGGGGGCCCGGTGCCTGCTGCTCTGCCCGGGGGCCCGGTGCCTGCTGCTCTGCCCGGGGGCCCGGTGCCTGCTGCCCCGCCTGGGGGCCCGCTGCCTGCTGCCCCGCCTGGGTGCCCGCTGCCTGCTGCCCCCCACCTGGGTGCCCGCTGCCTGCTGCCCCACCTGGGGGCCCGGTGCCTGCTGCCCCGCCTGGGGGCCCGGTGCCTGCTGCTCCGCCTGGTGGCCCGCTGCCTGCTGCTTCGCCTGGTAATCCGATGTGCCTCTGCCCGGAGTCCTGCCCGATGTGCCTCTGCCCGGAGTCCAGCCCGGTGTGCCTCTGCCCGGTTGTGCCTCTGCCCGGTGTGCCTCTGCCCGGAGTCCAGCCCGATGTGCCTCTGCCCGGAGTCCAGCCCGATGTGCCTCTGCCCGGTGTGCCGCTGCCCGGAGTGCCTGCTGCCCGGTGTGCCGCTGCCCGGAGTGCCTCTGCCCGGAGTCCAGCCCGATGTGCCTCTGCCCGGAGTCCAGCCCGATGTGCCTCTGCCCGGAGTCCAGCCCGATGTGCCTCTGCCCGGTGTGCCGCTGCCCGGAGTGCCTCTGCCCGGAGTCCAGCCCGATGTGCCTCTGCCCGGAGTCCAGCCCGATGTGCCTCTGCCCGGAGTCCAGCCCGATGTGCCTCTGCCCGGAGTCCAGCCCGATGTGCCTCTGCCCGGAGTCCAGCCCGATGTGCCTCCAGCCCTGTGCCTCTGCCCGGTGTGCCGCTGCCCGGAGTCCTGCCCGGTGTGCCAGTCTTTGATATCCCGCCAGTTACCAGACCCGGGCGGTGGAACATTTTGCCCAGCTAGGACTGTTTGGAGCGTCCTGAGGCCGCTCCTTGAGAGGGGGGGGTACTGTCAGGAATGGACTGGCCAGCAATAGTGGGACTCAGCTGCCTTATGAGCTGCAGTACCAGGGCTGGCCAGCGGGTGCTCCCAGCAATCAGAGACTCAACCTTGCAGCCAGTCAAACACCTGGAACTAATTATACTGGTGTATTTAAGGGACATTCAGACCTGCAGACTCGGCCTTGGTGTTGTGTTTCTCTTGGGCCCTGTATCCTGTTCCTGCTCTCTGTTCCTGTCTGATTCTCTGCTGACCCTGCTCTGATCCCTGGCTTGTCTGACCATTCTCCTCTGCCTGACCCTCTGTACCACGCTGCCCGCTACCTGCTGAACCTGGCCTGTGACCCCGACCATTCTCCGCTTGCTCCCCCTGTACCTACCTGCCCAACTGATATTGACCCGGCCTGCCTGACGACGCTTGCATTGTATGTACTGTTATCTGTGGGTGGTTGGTTGGTTTGTTTGCACTGTGTTATGTTTTAGTATTGCACTGCGTTTATGTTTGTATGGTTAGTGTTAATAAATTACATTGTTTATAACATATCTGAAGTCTGCGTTTCCCTGCGTCAGTCACACACCTCTGGTCATACCCGGGAGCCCTGACACCATTAACAAAACTCCCACATCATATAAATGATATCTGTAAAAAGTGCTTGGAAGAGTCTGTTAACTTCAGTGGATGAAAAACACACGCTGGGACACCATTAGTGCTTAATCCAACTTTGTGCCTAAAACCACCACCACCATTATATTCTGCTCACCTCAAATATATAACCTCACAATTTAATATTTGGTCAATATATGCCTTTTGTCCCTCAATCAAACATGTGGATTTCCTACGCAGGCTCGGATCTCCACAGCTTCCGTTTAGTCTCCTTCCATTCACCACTCCACCTCATACACACTTGACATAGTGTTTTATCCTTAAAAAGTTTTTATATGTGTTTTAAAATATAATATTTGCACCCACTTGTATCTGGTGCCCAATCGCGCCAAATGTAAACGTGTCAGCTGAGAAAGATTGGCATTCCTCTGCAGTGCCGCCTCTACTGCTGATTCGGTAAACACAATTGTTTACCCAGTAGAACATTGTCACGTCATCCAAGGCCCCACCCCAACATATTTCGTCACAGCCCACACAACTTCACAATCCCCCTGAGGAAGTTAGGAGACTCTTCCAAGAACTTTAACAAGTGAAAGGAACCAAATAAAATTGAGGGAAAGGAGGAGAAGGAGCTGGCCATACACTGATCACAATTCGGCCGATTCATCAGGGACTGGCTGAATTTAGATCAGTGTGAGGGCATCTCTGCTGGAGAACATTTGTTGATCAGCAGCTGCAGGTGCTGATCAGTGTATTCTGACATCAGTCAGTCCTGCTGTCAGAATACAATTTCCCAGCAGAGAGAAAGGAGGGGGGGATTCCTCCATCCACCTTGTTTATGTGGTAGGATAAATGAATTGGCTGAATGAAAAAGAAAAGTAATAGTGTATGGAAAGCAAAGAGAACAAGCAGAGAATAAAAGACCTAGCAGAACTTCTTTTAAAACAGGTATAGACTTCAGACAGAGAGAGATACCATAACTCCGGAACAAAGAACTAGTGAGACCTTATTTTAAAGATGCCATACAATTTTACAGAACTGAAGAGAATGAAGAAAGAGGCAACTAATTTACAGGCATGGAAGACCCCAGCTATTAGTAAATATTAACTTAACTGCATTTATTCTCCCTTTAGAAAAGGCATTTAAGAGAGGATATGATCAGCTTGTATACAGTATATATATGAATGGTCCATCTAACAACCTTGGTGCATAGTTATTCACAGATTAATGCAAATAACAAGGGGGCACTCTTTTGCGCTGTGTGTAATAGGGATTTAACATCAGCATAGAGAAAGGCCTCTTCACAGTGAGATCTGTGAAAATGTGGAATAGACTTCCACAAGAGCTAGTTTTAGCCAACTCTGTGGATTGTTTAAAAGAGGCTGGATGTGTTTCTAAATGCATATACAGTATATAACTGGATTTTAAAGTTTATAAGATTGTTGGGTTCTATAATGGGTTCTATTGTAAAGGGTTTTAAACATAACTCCTGAGTCTCACAAGGACAATATTCTACAGTGGGCAGAAGTCTCTACTCTACAAAGCTTAAGAGCCCCCGTAGTAGATGCTCATGTATTTAATGGATAGACCAAAGGCAGGTGGACCTGAGGGAGCCCACCCCTCCTTAGAGGTACAGGAGCACACTGGACACCCAGCATGTAGCACAATGGCAGCTAAGGTGTCCAGTGTGCCCCCTCGACCATCAATTCAACAATGCAAAAAATGGCCACTGCCCCAGTCTATAACTGGCCTTCACAGCAAGCAAAAATGGAAAGGTGACGCATGTCAAACAACAAAAAAGAAAAATTCCCAGCTCAACTTGCCAGACAGCCTGCAAACAAACCGAATAGAATTAGAACTACAGAATACTGGGGTGCCATGATGAGGCTCTGTAGCTTACACATGTATTTGCAAATGTGTGCTAACTAAACCCGTTTTTAATGCATACTGTTAGACAGGTTAATTCGGTTTGTTTGCAGGCTGGCTGGCAAGCAGGGAATTTTTCTTTTTTGTTGTTTGACATACATCGCCTTTCCATGTGCTCCTTGCTGTGAAGGCCAGTTATAGACTGGGGCAGTGGCCATTTTTTAAATTGTTGAATTGTTGGTTGAGGGGGTGCATTGGACACCTTAGCTGCCATTGTGCTACATGCTGGGTGTCCAGTACACTCCTGTATCTTTAAGGAGGGGTGGGCTCCCTCAAGTCAACCTGCCCTTGGTCTATCCATTAAATACATGTGCCTCTACTATGGGGGTTCTTAAATTTGTAGAGTTAGGAACTACAGAATACTGGGGTGCCGTGATGAGGCTCTGTAGCTTACACATGTATTTGCAAATGAGTGCTAACTAAACCCCTGTTTTTAACGCATAGTGTTAGACAGGTTGATTCAGTTTGTTTGAAGGCTGGCTGGCAAGTTGAGCTGGGAATTTTTCTTTTTTGTTGTTTGACAGAAGTCTCTACTACCTTGTTGTGCATATTATTGCAGCGCACGTGTGTGAATGGGCCATAAGGCCCCTTTCACATAGGCGATATGATCAGGTCCGCCTGTCAGTTTTTCAGTCTATGTATTGGTAGGTTTAAACAGACTTGTGACGGTTTACAGCTGCGTACCTCCAATCCGATCCTTTCCTCTCAAAAAAAATGGAAGGGGATCTATTCCTTTCCATCTGAGCAGATCGGATAGCAGTCGGGTGTTAACGGAGAGCATAGTCCATTTACACCTAGCCGCCCATAGAGCAGAGTGGGCTCTGTCCGTGTCTGCTCTGCATAAACTGAGTGGATATGGACCTTTCACCTGCCCGCTCTGCTCTGATCAACAGACAGATCTCCTGCTGATCAAATCGGAGTCTGCCGTGTGTGAAAGGGGCCTAAATGTTTTTGTTGTCTAATAAGGATCTTTTAAAGAATCCCACTAGAGCTTTCTTAAAATAGAAGGTATTTGAAGATGTTACAGCACAGATCCAAAAGATAAGTGGTTAACTTTTATAGTGGATGGAGTCATGCAAATCATTCCTTTATGTCCATGTATTAATTGTTTACATTTCTATTTTACTTTTCTCTTAGGTGCTCTCAGTAGAATACCATACTAGGTCAAATTAACCTACCAGCAAATCTGCCAGCCCGTGACTGGTATCTGAAATTTTACATGTGTAATGACATGTACTTACTTAAAATACAATGCCAGGTCCGTTGCTATGATCGCCACTTCAAACAAATGGATAACATTTTCAAACTGTCTCTTGTTTAGATTCTGAAAGATGTTTAAACTCTGAAAGACAAAAAAATGGTTGTTTTTTAGGTGCATGTTACACTGCCAATTCTACCAGTGGTGGCACCTAGGCAGCATGCAGCTGATAATTTTTCTAAAAGAATGTGCCTCTCCTTTAGCCCAAATGGTGTAGAACTTTGATTGCCAGTGAAGGAACAGGGACAAAATCATCTCTCTAGTTTAGGAAGTGAGGGAGTGACACCAATGGAGAAGGTGAGTGTCCTTTTACTAAAAGTCATCAGCTACAGGTTTTGTAGCTGATGACTTTTAATTTTTTTGTTCTAAAGTGAAGAACTACTTTAAGGGGAAAAAATGTGAGCCCTTACAGCTACTTTTAATTTATCCCTTTCTATAAAAATATGTTCTAACATCCTCTTTTTTATTTTTATTTTTAAAGTTAATAATAGTACAAAAATGAGCATTTCAGCTGTGCCTGTACATCTGGATATTGTAAATCTCTTAAATTCTTGACTGTGGACAACTCAGAGGACAACAACAGTACACACTCACCTCATCTTCTAAGAGTGACTTGCTGAACTCTAAGTGGTGTCTCTCTAGGATTGAAGACCCATGTAGCCTGGCTAGAGGAGCCTGGGATCTGGAAACAAATGTACATGTTATATACAATATGCATTGTGTAACTAATGGCCCACAAAAATATGAGAACCTGATCACTTACTTCATTTGGTACAAATTGTTGGTCCCTCGGTGGTCAATATCATGACAGAAAGCAGCAGCCACCATGGCAAAGGCTTCCAAATCTGAATAATATTTCTTGAGTTTACCTGTCTTTGGAAAATGAATGGATATTTCATTAAGCATGTTAGAGAAACAGTTTCAGGCCTATGGTCAGCTAAGCTTGCATGCATGATTTGATTACAGTTAGGCTTCAGTTGATCCTTGCATACTTGGCTTTGTAACCCATTCAAGTTTATACTATGGGGAGGAGAGGGGGGACATTCTGCAAGAAACTTATAGTGCCAGCTTAGCAAGGAGGGAGCAATAGTTATCATTCCCACAGCAATAACCCCCTAAGACCTTTCAATGGGATGCCTGGCAATGCCCCTATGGGATAATTGACAAATTTAGCTCTAAACTGCCAGGTTATACAATGTCTACTCATGTCTATGCTATCCATCTTCCTTTCTAGCATTTCTACGTGGGTGAGGAAGTGATGCATCCAAGTACCATATCACTAGAGCCTTTTAAAACCCAGCTCCAGTCAAAACGTAATAGAACCCCTATTTCACCTCATTTGCTTTTGGGAAAGCAAGTGATAAGAAGACCAGTAGGTTGATGAAATCTCTCTAATGAGGTCACAGGCAGCAAAAAATAAACTTTAAAGAAGTATTTAATCTTTACTATCCAATAAAAAAAACATTTTAACTAGTATTGGATTTTAGGCAACAGAGCAGCACAGTTTATTATTATTGTGCCTGAATTAAAACCAGAGCACCCGGCCAAGTAGGCTGTGTTTTCTGTATGCCACTGAATTTCAGATTTAAAGTGGAACTTTAGTCAGAAAATTAGGTCATGCTAGATCACTTCAGCCCCTTTTACAGGTATAGCTATGTAAAACAATACAAATAAGGGTCTATGCTTTTAAAATCCAGTAATACACTATCTCACCCTGCTCTGCACATGCTCAGTTGCTCTCTATTCTCAACACTGTGCCTAAAATCAGAGCCACTAGAGGCTGATCATCTGACAGCTTTAAGATATACTGTTATACACCCAACTCAGCCTGTGATGAACCTTTTTCTGTATTCACTAGTAATCACACATTGTAAGCAAATCCTTGGTTATTATTTTTTTATGACCAACTATACATCTATGTTGTCAGTGTTAATCACAAGCATAAATCAGAAAATGTCCTTTTTCATTTTTGAGCAAAAAAGGTTTTATAACAGCAAATCTACTGTAATTAAAACATTACATACCATTAGCAGTGTGAACATGGTTTGTCCAACATTGAACCCATGTCGCCAGTTGTGATAAGTAATGTCCCGATACCCTTTCCTCACTGTATACATCCATCTTGTTAAAACCTAATAACAGAAATGTACACCGAAGATGAGCTTTCTATGTAACTTTCATGGTTCCATTTGCATTTATGATCACATCTTTCTGCATCCAAATTAAGCAAACCAATAACAGCACAGTAGTTCAGCAGTTAGCATGGCAGAGTCATAGTGCTGGTATCCCAAGTGCATGGTTTTCATGGACCATGAACTCTTGTGACTCATTCTGTTCCACATTCCAAAAACATACTGCAAGATTAACTGCTTTCTGAGACCACTAACCCTAAAAGGTTTATTATTGGTGTAACACTGTGAGTAAGGGACTGATGTGAGTGCACACATGTACTCTGTGAAAAATTGCTGAATAGGTTGATGTTATATATAAGGGCAAAAAATATACCAGAACTTACATGTAAGAAATTTGTTTATTTTCTGCCCAGCAAATTATACTGTCATAAAGCCAGTTGTGTCTTAAAATAATTGCATGTTGTCTCTAAAAAAAATACTTTCACTAATGCAGTTCCCTTAAATCCTATTTTCCTTACTGGTTTGTGGTTCCTATTACATATACGTATTATACATTATATTGCCAAAAGTATTGGGACGCCTGCCTTTACACACGCATGAACTTTAATGGCATCCTAGTTTTAGTCCGTAGGGTTCAATACTGAGTTGTCCCATCCTTTGCAGTTATAACAGCTTCAACTCTTCTGGGAAGGCTGTCCACAAGGTTTACGAGTGTGTTTGTGGGAATGTTTGACGATTCTTCCAGAAGCGCATTTGTGAGGTCAGGGACTGATGTCAGACAACTAGTCTCCACTCTAATTCATACCAAAGGTGTTCTATTGGGTTGAGGTCAGGACTCTGTGCAGGCCAGTCAAGTTCCTACACCCCAAACTTGCTCATCCATGGGCCTTGCTTTGTGCACTGGTGTGCAGTCATGTTGGAACAGGGAAGGGCCATCCCCAAACTGTTCCCACAAATTTAGGAGCATGAAATTGTCCAAAATGTCTTGGTATGCTGAAGCCTTAAGAGTTCCCTTCACTGTAACTAAGGAGCCAAACCCAACCCCTGAAACACAACCTCACACCATAGTCCCCCTCCACCAAACTTTACACTTGGCACATGGCAGTTAGTCAAGTACCCTTCTCCTGGCAACTGCCAAACCCAGACACGTCCATCAGATTGCCAGACAGAGAAACATGATTTGTCACTCTGGAGAACATGTCTCCACTGCTCTAGAGTCTAGTGGCAGTGTGCTTTACGCCACTGTATCCAACACGTTGCATTGCACTTAGTGATGTAAGACATGGATGCAGCTGCTCGGCCATGGAAACCCATTACATGAAGATCTCTACGCACTTTTATCGTGTTAATCTGAAAGCCACATGAAGTTTGGAGGTCTTTAGCTATTGACTGCACACAGTTGGCGACTTCTGCGCACTGTGCTTTTTAGAATGCGCTGACCCCGCTTTGTAATTTTATGTGGCCTTTAAGGTAGCTGAGTTGCTGTTGTTCGCAGGTGCTTCCACTTTGTTATAATACCATTAATAGTTGACTGTGGAATATTTAGTAGCAAGGAAATTTCATGGATGGCAACCTATCACGGTACTACGCTTTCATTCACTAAGCTTCAAAGAGCGACCCATTTTTTTCACAAATGTTTGCTGAAACAGTCTGCATGTCTAGGTGCTTGATTTTATACACCTGTGGCCATGAAGGTGATTGGAACACCTGAATCCAGTGATTCGGAAGGGTGTCCCAATACTTCTGGCAATATTGTGTATCTGTCAATGGAGATGGACAACTGGAGACAACAAGCAAAATATAGGGAAGCACAGTAGCTAAATGGTTAGCACTTCCACCTGGCAGTACTATCCCAACTATGGCACCACCTGCCTGGAGTTTGCATGTTCTCCCTGTGCTTGTGTGGGTTTCCTCCAGGTACACCGGTTTCCTCCCACACTCCAAAGACATGCTGGTAGGTGAATTGGCTCCTGTCTAAATTGGCCCTAGTATGTGTATGTATGAATGTAAGTTAGGGACCTTAGATTGTACACCCCTTGAGAGTTAGGGACCAATGTGAATGTATATGTAAAGTTCTGCATAAATTGATGGTTCTATATAAGTACCTGTAATAAATAAATCGATTTAAAAAACTGTCTAGGAAACTGGTTTTCAAGAGAAGAGTTGCAACTTTTTCCTGAAAAAAATGGTGGAAAGCATCACAAATATATGTGGAACAACCTGTAAAAATCCTAAAACCATAGTAGCATTGAACATAATCATTTGAGTCAGATTACAGAGTTTTGTGTTTCCAAGGGATATTCCACTTTTCAGCAATTGGGGTCTGCTTCTCTGAACCCACTGCTGTATCATTATCCTACCTTGAAAGCGGAATGGCTTCTCTTTCATTTAATTAAAGTAAGAACAGGTTGGTGCACATCAGGGTGTTTCCATTTTTACACCTATGAAGTAACTCTATTAAACCATATAAACCAACTTGGTTCACATGTTTTTTTTCCTCAAAAACCAAGAAATATTTTTTAGTTGTGTCAGATACCTGAAATCTGCCTTTATAAAGTCAGAAGGCAGAGGTACAAAGAGGTACCACAGGGAAAACTCAAGTCCGCAGCACAAATTTAAGAGAAAGCCAAGTGGGACAATAGTATGGAATCTACAGAACTCCAGCAAGCGCTACAGTATGATTTCACCTACTTTGTGTAACGCCCTCTAGTGTAGATAGGTTTTTTTGTGTATAGTTAGAGGATTGCTAGAAACCTGGGTGTGAGTCAGCCTAGGAGTGAGTCAGCAAGGTTACTTTAGGTCAGGGCTAGAGGGCTTTACAGGTCAGCCCTCTGGTACCTCCCCCTGCTCTAGAAACTTGGAGAAGTTTCTAGAAGCCAGTAGGCAGAGGTGAGCAGGGGCTGATCTGCATGTTTATGTGAGTCTGATCAATCCCAGGCAGGACGCCTGGCATTGTGGGAGATCAGCCCATAAATATGAGAGAGCCTGTCCAGCAGGAGAGTCGGGTGGCAGATGGAGTGAGGAAGTGCTACTGGTGAGGAGCCTGGAAGAGGGCCCTGGAGAAGCAGGATCTACCTACAGGCTGGGAGCTGGAAAGAGGGACCACCACTGTTTTATAGTCTACAGGTAAGGACAGCCTGTCAGCAGGGAAAGAAGCAAGCCCAGCATAAGGCCTGAAAACAGCTTCACCTTTACAGCTACAGGAACAGAACAGTGTGAGTACCTCTACACCCCCCCCTGGACCTACAAAGGAGAGGGCTCAGAACTCATCGGCTCCTATGGGGGTAGCACTACATTTGTGTAGCTTAACGTGGTGGATAAACTACTAGAGAATATGACTTTACAAAGCTTTTGATGATTACAACATTTACCATATATGAGTTTCAGTTATCTGTTTAACCTTTTTAAGCTGTTGTGTTGCCAAAAAAGGTAAAGAGCAACTTGCAAAAGAAGTTATCAGCCCAGCAGCTGGTGACTCAGATCTTTGTTCTCTTGCAGAGCTACTCCGGTCAAAAGATCTTCAGAATCTAACATGGTCTATACACTGTAGTTCCACTCACCGGCCACTATGTCACTACAGCTCTGCAGTGGTGGTGTAGCATCTCGTAAGCTTTATATCTCCTTATGTGGGTGACTTTTATTTTTTTTCTGGTGAGAGAGTTGACTTACGTTGCTTTTGAAATATATTCTTATTACTTATTATGGCTGTTAAGACCATGTTTGTATAGTTATTTTACTTATAAAAAATAAATGTAACCATTTATCCTGTACCAAAATTAAAAAACAACATTTAAAATTAAAAACGAGCAAATATCCATCACTAGCTTAGCAAAACCTACATTGATATGGAAGTACTTACATCCACAGGCACCTTGAACTTTTCAATGACTTTTAGTTCAACAAACATTTTGATACCACTCTTAATCAGCTCATGTTCTGTCACAGGGAGGTCGCTGAAACGGAATTCATAGAGTTCTAGTGCGCCTGGGTCTGGCAGTTCCTCTTTCTGTGAAAGAAAGACAGAAAGATATGTCATATTCCTAGTTCAAAACATTGTTCAGTGTTCAAATATTGTGTATACAATAATATATACAGTTGTGTTCAAAATAATAGCAGTGTGTTGAAAAAAGTGAATAAAGCTCAAAATCCTTCTAATAGTTTTAATTTCCATACACACAAATGCATTGGGAACACCTCACATTCTATTCCAAATCAAAACATGAAGAAAAATATATCAAATTTGTGTTGTTCCTCTAAAACAATTGAAGAAAAGTGAATATTAGACAGTTATAAAAAATAGCAGTGTTTGTATTCTTCTTTACAAACTCAAACATTCATTATATAAACTGGAAAATGTTTGAAGATTTTGCTTTCCTTTGAATCACTTAATTAATATTTAGTTGTATAAGCACTGTTTCTGAGAACTGCTGTACATCTGTGTTGCATGGAGTCAACCAACTTCTGGCACCTGTGAACAGGTATTCCAGCCCAGGATGATTGGACTACATTCCACATTTATTCTCTATTTCTTGGTTTTGCCTCAGAAACTGCATTTTTGAGGTCATCCCACAAGTTTTCTATTGGATTAAGATCCGGGGATTGGGCTGGCCACTCCATAACGTCAATCTTGTTGGTCTGGAACCAAGATGTTGTACGTTTACTGGAGTGTTTGGGGTCGTTGTCTTGTTGGAACACCCATTTCAAGGACATTTCCTCTTCAGCATAAGGCAGCATGACCTCTTCAAGTATTCTGATGTATTCAAACTGATCCATGATCCCTGGTATGCGATAAATAGGCCCAACACCGTAGTATGAGAAACATCCCCATATCATGATGCTTGCGCAACCATGCTTCTCTGTCTTCACAGTGTACTGTGGCTTGAATTCAGTGTTTGGGGGTCGTCTGACAAACTGTCTCCGGCCACTAGACCCAAAAAGAACAATCTTACTTTCATCAGTCCACAAAATGTTGCGCCATTTCTCTTTAGGCCAGTCAATGTGCTCTTTGGCGAATTGTAACCTCTTCAGCACATGTCTTTTTTTCAACAGTGGGACTTTGCGGGGGCTTCTTGCAGATAGCTTGGCTTCACATAGGCGTCTTCTAATTGTAACAGTACTCACAGGTAACTTTAGACCTTCTTTGATCTTCCTGGAGCTGATTGTTGGCTGAGTCCTTGCCATTCTGGCTATTCTTCTATCCATTTGAATGGTAGTTTTTAGCTTTCTTCCACGTCTTTCAGGTTTTGGTTGCCATTTTAAAGCATTAGCGATCATTTTAGCTGAGCAGCCTATCATTTTCTGCACTTCTTTATATGTTCTCCCCCCTCCAATCAACTTTTTAATCAAGGTACGCTGTTCTTCTGAACAATGTCTGGAACAACCCATTTTCCTCAGAATTTCAGAGAGAAATGCACTGTAACCAGCATGCACAACATTTGCTGCCTTCCTTCCTTAAATAAGGGCAATAATTGCCACCTGTTTTTCAAAGAATGAATGACCTCACTACTAGAACTCCACACTGCTATTATTTTGAACATGCCCCTTTCAATTAGTGATTCAATTACACAGAATGAGCAGCATGCATGTCATGACTGTTGGGTATGTTGGATTTCTATTACTCTACTACACCTGCTAGTAAATTATTTGCGAGATACAACTAAAACATTATTTTTCCATTTTACTCAACCATCATTTCTATGATTGCTATAAAAAATACAATTTCTCTTCCTGGCAACCATGACAATTGCAAACATATTGTAGACTGGGTTTCCCTGAATTCTTGAAATTCTTTTATCAGTTCTTTTGCTGGTTCTGTCAGAAATTTTCATAGAGCTTCAAGGATCTAAACCCCAAAACAAAAAATTTAATATGTAGCAGCTTTAGATGTAATGTCTGCTTTAGTTTAATTTGGTAAAAACCCAATATACTTGTAACATCCTGTGCTCTGAAATATGTCAAATGTTGATATCAGTTTCCCCAGCTACCTTCTGTGATCTACAAAAGAGATAAGTAAAGAAGGAGAGTTGTGTAATCCAAATCAGGAGAGCATTCTAAGGTGACAACACTGTTTCTTGATAGATACAATGCAGTAAGTCATCCTAGGACAGGAAGTGAAGTGCGATGTTGGCAGGTTCATCAAGTGAAAATAATAGAAAAAAATCTACAAATGCAGCCATTACATTTAAAAACGGGTAGAATATTACATTTTTGTTTTTGGTTTAGATATGCTTTTAAATCGCAGGAAGCTTTTGAAATGAAATTTAATGTGTCATCTTTAGAGTTCCCCTTAGGTTTACTGAACTGAGAGTTTCCTTTTGGTCAGGTACAAAGAGCTGTGCATGTCTAATGAGTTATTGGAAAAGGTGCAATGTAAAATATTTGAACCAATCAAATGGCCACAGGAAATGTCCCGTGGGCACTTGGGGACAAGGGAACACTCCTGGTCTGAAAAATGGTTGCTATAGTTCAAAAATATCACAGGTAAATGCAACAGTGTGTGTGTATACAGTATCAATTCTGTTTTTTAATGATATATTAAGTTATATTAAATTTATGATGTTTCTCTAGAAACCAAATTTCATCTTACCTCAGCTCATCAGACTCCAGCAACACTCAATTAAAAAATGTTACATATGTTTTCTTTAAATCCAAAAACTTATATTTCTTTTAAAGTATTATACATACCAATATTTTTACGAGATCCGATTCCTCGCAGTCATCTAAATTTTTGTTTAACTTTTCCTTGGTTTTCTAAATAAACAACATGGAGAAGAGAATTTGGTTAGCTATAGCATGGCAGTCATGTACCTGTATGAAAAATACAAAAGTTACCAAGATACTCTGCAGCTCCTTCGGTGAGCATTTCATTTGGTTCATCAGCATCTCTTGGGCAATGTCCCTTCGATTCTGAAGTTTGTTCATTTTCTCATATGTGTCAGTGTTAAGAACAGACCAGCCGAGGAATTGTGTCAGGGCCTGGAACAGAGTGAAAGGTGATGCCACATATGGTCAGGTCTCAGGACCCAGTATAAATATACAACCATTTTTGGAGACAAGTAGGCAGGCCCAAAGGATGTCGATGGATGTTCTATGTTGTATTTCAGTCCAACTTTGTTTTCACAACTTTGGGCTCCAAAACCTAAAGGAGCATTATTTTTGCAACAGCCCAGCTTCCTGGTATAGATGTAGTGTTGGTCATATAGCAGTTAAACGTTTTCTCCATTGAGCTGGAAAATACTTTATTTCCAGCTACATAGTTCTTGACATTGGGATTGGGCCTTGACAACCATTTCCGTGATGCCGATTATGTATTTTCTTTAGTGATAGGCTGTTTTAGCTAAAAGGCAATTGAGGCAGCCAATAACAGAGTTAAAGTATACAGTTGCAAGAAAAAGTATGTGAACCCCTTGGGATTACGTGGAGTTTTGCATGAATTGGGCATAAAATGTGCTCTGAACGTCATCTAAGTCACAACAATGGAAGAACACAGTCTGCTGAACATAATACTACACAAACATTAGATGTTGCCATGGTTTAATTGTGCATAACATGTAAACATTCACAGTGCAGGAAGGAAAAAGTATGTGAGGCCCTAGCTTAATGACTTCTCCCAGAGCTAATTGGAGCCAGGAGTGAGCCAACCTTGACTCCAATCAGTGTGATTATATTGGATGTGTTGCTGACAGCTGTCCTGCCCTTAAAAAACACACACCTATTTTGGGTTTACTGCTTTCAAGAAGCACTGTCTGATGTGAACCATGCCTCGCAGAAAAGAGCTCTCAGAAGACCTACGATCAAGAATTGTTGACTTGCATGAAGCTGGAAAGGGGTACAAAAGTATCTCCAAAAGCCTTGATGTTCATGTGTCCACGGTAAGACAGACTGTCTACAAATGGAGAAAGTTTAGCACTGTTGCTACTCTCCCTAGGCGTGGTCGTCCTGTAAAAATGACTGCAAGAGCACAGCGCAGAATGCTGCATGAGGTAAAGAAGAATCCCAGAGTGTCAGCTAAAGACCTACAGAAATCTCTGGCACATGCTAACATTTTTGTTGACACATCTACAATAAGGAAAACATTAAACAAGAATGGAGTACATGGGAGGATACCACGGAGGAAGCCATTGCTGTCCAAAAAGAATATTGCAGCACGTTTGAAGTTTCCAAAAGAGCACCTGGATGTTCCACAGCACTACTGGCAAAGTATACTGTGGACAGATGAAACCAAGATTGAGTTGTTTGGGAAGAACACACAACACTATGTGTGGAGAAAACAAGGCACAACACACCAACATCAAAACGTCATCCCCACTGTAAAACATGGCGGAGGGAGCATCGTGGTTTGGGGCTGCTTTGCTGCCTCAGGGCCTGGATGGATTGTTGTCATTGATGGGAAAATGAATTCCAGAGTTTATCAAGACATTTTGCAGGAAAATGTACGACCATCTGTCCGCCAACTGAAGCTCCACAGAGGATGGCTGATGCAACAGGACAATGACCCAAAGCATACAAGTAATTCAACAAAACAATGGCTGCAACAGCACAGAATACGCCTTCTGGAGTGACCCAGTCAGAGTCCTGACCTCAACCCGATTGAAATGCTGTGGCATGACCTTAAGAGAGTGATTCACACCAGATATCCCAAGAATATTGCTACACTGAAACAGTTTTGTGAAGAGGAGTGGTCCAAAATTACTCCAGATTGTTGTGCATGTCTGATCTGCAACTACAGGAAACGTTTGGTTGAGGATATTGCTGCCAAAGGAGGGTCAACCAGTTATTAAGTCCAAAGGTTCACATACTTTTTCCTCCCTGCACTGTGAATGTTTACATGTTATCTGCAATTAAACCATGGCAACATCTAATGTTTGTGTAGTATTATGTTCAGCAGGCTGTGTTCTTCTATTGTTGTGACTTAGATGACGTTCAGAGCACATTTTATACCCAATTCATGCAAAACTCCACATAATCCCAAGGGGTTCACATACTTTTTCTTGCAACTGTATATAAAATGTGAAAAAACGCAGCGCCTAGGTAAAAAACGTTTAGAAAAGCAACCAGCACAAAGGATATGATACCAATTCCCAAAAAATAATGTAACTAAATGTGTGGCGGTAAAGCACTAAACACACACTAAATTCCTTAAAGAAATCTCATTAAAGTGATGGTGTATATCACTGAAATAGTCCCATACACAAAAACAATACAAAATATCCAACACCAATGTTCGTGAAATAAAGCCAAAACAAAAAATATTTTGGTGTGATGAATAGGTACAGCTGGGAAGTAGGAGACTCCATTCCAAATCTAGAAGATTATTTAAATATATAAAACAGTGCGGCGCTCAAACAGTGAATATAAATACACCATCAGATTATATACTCTTGTATTATTTCTTACACCACCATGTATTTTATAGCCCAGACATCCATAACACATATAAGGAATAAAAATATAGGCTGGTGGTGTTACACACTCAGACAAAGATCTCATGCACTATAGTGACTTAAACACAATTTAGTGAGTAGTGTCCATGTGCATAATATAAAATTTCATGCGGATGTGAACTGCAAGTGCCAATCCTCAAATAGGTGGAATGCCCCCTCACCTTCCTGCCCAGAATATGAAGTCACGTGACCAAAGTGACGTAACGCGTAGATACGCCAGTGGGAGGAGCTTAAGCGACTGACGACCTGACGTCATATCCGGCGTGGGCGCCATCTTGGTGCTCCTTTTCCTGAATGCAGTACACCCTTTGAGTGGTGTGAAGGCTTGTTTTTGCTGAAGGAGCATGTGAGTAGGATTCTGTTCCTTTGTATCATTTGCCTAATAAAGCGGTTTTACACTATGTAAGTCTTTCTTGCCTTACTGGTGACTACTCTGGAGGGGCATATACCTATACCACCAACGATCCGAGATAGAGACAAGAGGAGGGGAGTCCCACCATCATTATCTGAAGGATCCATCCAACTCCAGGAGAAAGAACCACTATATAATAAAAGGCTCATTGGTCCTTAGGGGCCTGGGCAGGAAGGTGAGGGGGCACTCCACCTATTTGAGGATTGGCACTTGTAGTTCACATCCACATGAAATTTTATATTATGCGCATGGACACTACTCACTAAATTGTGTTTAAGTCACTATAGTGCATGAGATCTTTGTCTGAGTGTGTAACACCACCAGCCTATATTTTTATTCCTTATATGTATTATGGATGTCTGGGCTATATAATACATGGTGGTGTAAGAAATAATACAAAAGTATATAATCTGATGGTGTATTTATATTCACTGTTTTAGCGCCGCACTGTTTTATATATTTAAATAATCTTCTGAATACGGTTGGTGTTGAGATTGTGGCACCCTTAGTGCTGGCTGCTTAGTAGTACTAGTATATCTAGCGGTGCAGGAGACACATTTTTTACTTATTTCCATTCCAAATCTTCCACCAATCTGAGAAGAGAAAAAGCCTCCACCAGACACCTTACCAAATAGTAAGACCTCCTGTACAAGGATGGTCACATACGCTTTTTAAGATTTTTGTGTATGGAACTATTTCTGTGATATACACCATCACTTTAATGAGATTTCTTTATGTGATATTGTGTGTGTTTATTATACTTTCTTTTTTGTTAAATGACACTTTAGTGCTGCACATTTAGTTACAGTATATTAAAGTGAATATAAAACCAAAACTTATTTTTTTTCTTAAGTTTTAGAAGTGTGGAAGGGATAGAATCTCTGTCATGTTTTTATCTCTGTCCCTACTGGTGAGATTAACTACCTCTATTTATCCCGGTAAACATTGTCACTCGTACAGAAAGTAATGGCAAATCCAAAATGTTTAGACTGTTACAGGAACAGGAGCTGAGGGAAAACCTTGCAATGAAGAAACCTAAATGCAAGAAAGGATATCTCCTCACTTGAATTCTATTTATCTTTAGATCTATCTGAGTCTCTAAGACAAGAATTAAAAGGGAATCTTAGTGGTGGGAAATAGCAAAATGAGATGTATACTGAGAGATGTGATCTATCAAAAGAGGACTTATATTAGATGTATGAAAATTTGTCAAGAAAGAAGAAATCTATATTACCATTGCTAACCTTCTTGAAGAATTTCAACACCATATAGGATTTTAATGACACAGACTGACCCTGGGGATAATGGCCAATCGTGGGCGATTTGGGTGCATATCCTTTTCGGCTTACACCATGTATTTTTTTTTTAACATGCCTGGTTAAATGCTGATGTTACCCTATGTATTAGACATACCCTACGAGTATCCTGAGGAAGTGACATATGTAGTCCATGAAAAACGTTGATAATGAATAGCTGTCTCCCTCCTCAACTGCTGACACAACAGATTTATGGATATTTGTGTTATATGCCCACCATATATGTTTGAATGGAGGAGGGAAAATGGATGTAGGGGATGCAACAAATATACAGTATAATATGTGATAACCACATCTGTACTAGCCCTAGTATTTTAAAGTATCATGTTTTATGGAAAACATATAAACTTATCAAATTTCGTATATAATATTTGTGCATAATAAGTACCTAAAAAGTCCCACTTTTGTTTATTATGGTTGTTGAAAAGCTGCTGGGCATTATAGAGCTACCTGCTCCATGTTTAGAACTACAATCATAGTGGCTACAAAATTGAAGTCTTACTGTCCTAAACTTCAGTTTTTGGCTCTGAAATTTCATATGACCACATTCTAAGAGCCACAAAGAAAGTTGATTATGGAATACTTTTCTCTCTACTATAAAAAGGCCAATTGGTTGTGGCCAAAGATTCCTAGCCCTCCTGTGATGTAGATCCATCTTATCTACAAAGAACTACAGTTTGGGAATCCAGCCAATCATGATTAATCATTATATATATATATATATATATATATATATATATATATAATTTTTTTTAACCATTTGAAGCACATTCTTACTTCTGTGATTTGCTCATCATATTCATCAAACGGCCTCCCATCTTTCCTGTTGTAAAAGGTGGCCACTCCCATAATCTCTTCCTTCTTGTTGACAATAGGCAGCGAGAGGACATTTTTTAAACACCATCCTGTCTCATCCACCGCTTCTTTCTACAGTCACAATAGGAATCCAAGGTGAAATGTTGGCATGACAAGTTTTCTACTGTTAATCACTGGGTTAGCTAAAGAAAGTGCTTTAAAATCTCGATAAACATAAACATAAATGTCACCTGAAATTTGAAGTATTCATCTGCTGGGGCATTCATCATGTTGCAAATCTGAAGTGGATGTGAAGAAAATTATATAAAACACAGGGATTACATTAACCCAACAAGATTCATTAGATTAAATGGACATACTGTGTTAAAAGGGGACAAACACTATATTTTAAAGGAATGCAGGTATTCTTAACAAATAAATAAATAATAAACATACAAATCCATTCTCGGCGACGTACGTGGGCAGCCCACTCACAAGGGACCAGTGGTCTTCAGGAGGTGTGCTATGTACACAACACAAAGCAAATTAAGCTGGAGAAACCAAACAACTATTATTCATTTAACACTGTTGACACAATCACTATACATATCTTACGGGATAACTTTAATTTCTTCTTTCCCAAGCAAAATATAATCAATGATCTTGTAAAAAATAACTTCCTGAACAAAAGAAGAAGACAGTTGTTAATACTTCTTAACGCCATAACAGATAACTAAATTATTCAAAATGTATCTCTGGGCCAAACCTTTCAGGGGGTGAGGGTAAATGTTTCCATGCAGACACCTGTTCCAGGGACAACTGTCTAACATGGTAATTCACCTCACTTTGGGAGATTTCCTCTAATTTCCTGTTCCCTTTCTGGGACAGGAAGTGAAAGTAAATTTACCCAATTGTGCACAAACAGCAAAAACAAACAAAAAACAGCAGGGGTTTTAACGATTCTCTTCTATATTCAAAACGGACAAAGAAGTTGTGGCTATAACAACACTTTACACAAATTCTCTAACAATTATCTTAAGAAAACCTATGCTTCTAAAATATTTGACATTCTAATCTAACATTTTGTTGGGATGCTGAGCTTTGGAAGTAATACTGGGGCTAAACAGTATATTTTATATTTGTGCTGGCTGGATCTGTTATGTAAAAGCTTATCATAAGCTTCATGGACCAACAATCTCATGGGAAATATCTGGATCTTAGGTTAAACTGTTATGCGTGACTTTGGGCAGAGAGAGGAAGGGTAAAATTGCCATCAGGTTTTCATTGCTGGTCGTGTACTCTCTGGGTTGGAGGAATTTACCCTCAGCAATAGATGACAGAAGGATAATAAGTGATGGGAAATTGACAAAGACAACCACAAAAAACAAAAATGTAATTGCCAGTTGGAGGGATTTTCTCTCACTTCCTGTCCTATGACCACCTTGACAGGAAGTAAAGGGAAATCTCTCTGACACAACAATAAAAATCTGATAGAGGATCTAGCCCTTCAAACATCTATCCACAGTAGAAAATAACTTTTTGGCTAGATCTTTATTTAAACTTTTCTTAGAAGCTGGTGGGTGATCAGATACTCCATGATACACATGAAGCAATTTGTCAATGTTGAGTGTATGGTCTTTAAATTGATTGCTTCCTATAAACAATATATCTTGTATTTTATGTGATCAATGAACAATAACTATATTGCTAATGGGCACATCATTTTTATGAGTAGCGGGGATTGTTGGTAATGTGAATTACAGTTATCCAGGTGGTTCTGCACTGGTGAAGAGAGGTGACAAGATATGTAAGCACTAATGAGAGGACTCTCCTGTTCCTCTCTCACCAATAGACTAGGCTGTTACTTCAAGTGGTTCTAAAGGCAAAAGGTTTTTACCTTAATGCATTCTCTGCATTAAGATGAAAAAAACCTTTCAATAGCAGCTTCCCCTTTAAACACTTACCTGTCTCTTTTCTCAATCCAGCTCTGTCCTGTCTGCAACAGTGCTTCACCCTTCTTCCTGCATTTACAGGAGGCTTTGACAATCAAATCCTGTGATCAATCAAATCCTGTGATGAGGGAGAAGGGGGCGGGGCTGAGCCACACTGTGTGTGTCTATGGACACACACAGGCCTTCTTGGGAGCACACCTGCCTAAGTGCCCCTATAACAAGCAGCTTCCTATGGGGGCACATGGAGAAGAGGAAGAGTGCAGAGCGCTGGTGGGGGACCCCAGAAGAGAACGTAAGGGGCTGCAGATCAGTATACCATCTTTTTTATTTTTGGAAAAATAAATTAGGCTTTACAACCACTTTCATCTAGTTTTTTAGCTTTCTCAATGGATGTACCCACTTATAATAACATTCTTTGTTGCTCATAGCAACCAATATTTGATTCCTTTCCCAATCTTTATCACACAGAAATGAACAGAAATAACAAGTGGAAGCTGATTGGTTGCTAAAACCAATAAGAAATTTTCTCATTGGCACATTTTTCAGTCCCCCTATATTATTGTTACTGTAACTTATTGCCAGTGACTGAAAAAACACCACAGGGATTGGCTGTAATGGGCTTTACTAGTACATGTAGTTGATGTGTTGTGATCCTTCACATTCTTGTGTCTCAGTAAATGAACCCTAGCTTGTTTTCACTAGCTGGTGAATGCAGTCTGAGACTAGGTTGTCTGCCCCAAGAACCTGCAGAAGAAGCCATATCTTATGACTTTGTGAATGCCTCATATTAATTTGGTTAAACTGGAAAACCTCTTTAACAAAATCCAAAATGGAAAGCATTTCACACATGTATAAAAAAATATTCAAATGTCCAAGGAAGGCCTTACAAACCCTTCCATCTGGTGTCTTTGGTCCTTTGTAAGGCGGTACTTCTCCAAGCTTGATTGGCCATTCTTCATAGAACTCCTAAACAACAGGGAAGGAGGGAATAAAAGATTAAGGTCCATATTAAGAGTACCTAAAATTTCAAGTCCTGAGCTACTAGCCAGGCCTTAAGAGTTATTCGCCACCACCAAACACACACAAACAGAGACACCTGTACACAGACATGTACATACACACATACACCCACAGAAATATGTACACACACGCACAGAGAGACACATGTACACACACACACATACAGACACATGTATACACACACAGGCACGTACAGACGCATACACACAGATACATGTACATACACACATACACACACAGAAATATGTACACACACGCACAGAGACACATGTACACACACAGACACATGTATACACACACAGGCACGTACAGACGCATACACACAGATACATGTACATACACAGAAATACACACACACACATGTACATGCACACACACACAGACACATGTACACACACACATATATGAACATACACGGCGACACATGTACAGATACACACATGTACATACATACACAGTACATGTACATACATACACAGACACATGTACATGCACACACACACAGACACATGTACACACACACACAGGGGCGGACTGACAACTCATGGGGCCCCCGGGCAATAGGGGATCATGGGGCCCCTGTGTCCTTGCCCAAACTCAAAAAAGCCTATGAAAAAGGTACCAGGGGCATCTCATGGGGCCCCCTACTGACCCCGGGCCCTCGGGCAGTGCCCGAGTTTCCAATTGGTCAGTCCGTCCCTGCACACACATATATGTACATACACGCAGACACATGTACAGATACACACATGTACATACACAAAGACACATGTACATGCATATCCACACACCCCTATAAATAGTTGCAGTACTTTGTTGTTCACTCACAAAGCCGGGTACTGCACTCTAGGGGGAGGCAGAGAGCACAGCACACACTCCTTCCTTTGCTTTCACTGCGCTCAGCTATTGAGCAGTCTGACCGCTCCCAGTGCCAATGACAGATCCGGCCTGAGCTCTGAGCCTGCTCAGCAAGACGGCCCTGGGGGACACACCACCATAATTTCCACTCGCCATTGGCGAGCAGGCGAGTGGAAATTTCAAGGCCTGCTATATGGTCTGTATTTCCAGATAACGATCCCAGTCATACTCATTAAACTATGAGGGGAAGTATTTGTATACATCTGCAGTAATGACTACAAGCAGAAGAGTGGGATCCCACATATGTTTGAGGGAAGGACTGTTCATATTGCTTATAGAACAAACCAGATTCTCCCTTTATTGTAACATAATGAAAGTGCAGGCTTCATTCATAAATGCACTGTAATAATATTGCATTTGAATTACATTTAGGTTAGTGCTTATGTGTAAATCAAAAACTTGTCCTTTAATCTACACATAACAGTTATGGCAAACATTTTTCAAATTAGAGGTCATCACTGATTAACCCTTCATTAGTCTGTATTATTTCTTATTATCTCCTTCCAATCCACCTTGCTTTAGTTATATTTTGTAATTTTTTTTTTAACTGTTCATATGTAAAAGTTTTTGCTTTTCACAATTTCTATTGTTCAGTTTTATAATGCCATTTAAAAAAAATTGTAAGTAGTTTAAGCTACTGGCTTCAAGCTTAGTGAATTGGACAAAATTTGAGCTGTGGGTGATCCTGCCACCCATCTCAACAAACTTCCAATAAAAGAAGCCAGTCACTGAACACTGTTCTAACAGCCATGGTTGCCACAAAAAATTAGTTGGCAGCTGGAGATTCATCCATTTGTGCTGTTTAGCATGGCTGTAGGAATCTATAGATTAAACATGAGATGGAATAAACAAGAGACATCTGTCCATATATGGTAAAGCCCGCTGTCAGCTGATGTCACATGCCACCCTAGCCTCTGGCAGAATCCTGACCATATTGTCGGGAACCACCCAGATGCTTGATTGGCAGCTGGATCAGCCATTTAGTGTGCTGCTGACAGCTTAAGTCAGCCAATTTCGTCCCTTCTGGTGCTGGAAGTCAGCACTCTCTGCTCAGAGCTGACCACGAACTGAGCAATCAACAGTCATGTGATTGCTCAGTTCTTGGGCTCAGAAGGGGACAGCTGCAGCATCAGATCGATGCTGCAGCATGGAGGTGAATATGGATGTTTGTTTTTTTTTTAATAACCCCAAACATGTCCTTTAACGAAAACCTGTTTTTTTTTTTACTATGCACATTAGCACTAAATCACACTTGTGTAGCTTTTCTGAAAAATGAATGGTCACCTCAGCTAGCCATTCCTGTATAAGCCCTATAGAGAAAGGTGCATTACAAAAAATGTTTTTTTTTAATTTTTTTTTTTACAATTGTGAAAGAAGTAATCAGACAAGGTTTTCTAACCTGTCTGATCACCCGAGCCCCCCAAGAACCAGAAAAACTCTGTGGGGAGACCGTGTACATTATTACTTCCATTTGAGTGCCAGAGGGCCTTGTTCCATCAATTCTGATCCTATATATTTTTTAGCCACAATGGAACATTCCTTTAAATTGCTTTAGGTATATAGTCAGTATATTCATTTTTGTTATACTTTTCAGTTTTCGTAGCAGGCTGGTTTTACAGATTTCCTCTTTTCTGTCTGCTGTTCTTCACACATTTGTGTTACTTGAAGTGACCGTGACACAAGACAATCACCTTTTCTTTTGTCATGTCCAACAACCCCACAGAATAGCGTTCACAATTCAAGTAAATCCTGACAGTATACAGAGCCTTGTGAAACTGACGCTCGATGTCTGTTAGTTCTTCAAAAACCTTGTTAGCGCTCCAAAGCAGTATCTGTAAAGAGGAAATTGCCATGTTATGGTGGAAAACAAGCCAAACAACAACTTTTATTTTTAGCAAACACATTTTTAAACTGTATATATTGGCTGTGCATCCACTGTGTGTCGCTTTTCACGACAACCACAAGTGTAAATGAGCCCTTAAATAAAAGTTTAGTTTTTGAAGCTGCCCATTTGTTATATATAAAAGCATCTGAAAGAAAAAGGTTGCCCACAGCAACTGACCATTCTATTTATTACAACCCAACAAGACTTTATTGGTGGCTGTATTACTTTGGCCATATTTTCCATCCTCGGATATATAGTCAGCTATATCTATGTAGTTGTAGACTTGTGAATATCCCTGAAGCAAAACATGGATAAATGCATTTGTTTACTTGTTCATGTTCCATCTAACAGCGAGCAAAGTAGTTAAGTTACATGATCTCCATTATTATTGTTATACAGGATTTATATAGCGCCAACAGGTTGCTCAGCGCTTTACAATATAAAGAGAGACAATACAGCAACGATACAGTTCAATACAAGAGGGTTAGGAGGGTCCTGCTCCTGGGAGCTTATAATCTAATAGGGAGGGGCTGGTGGCACAAAAGGTAACACTTGTGGGGATGAACTGCTGGGAGAAATAGAAGATTTAGTTTTTTTAGCTAAAGGTAGGATAGGCTTCCTTGAAGAGATATATTTTCAGGGATCGCTTAAAAGAGGACAGAGTAGGGGATAGTCAGACAGATTGGGGTAGAGAGTTCCAGAGGATAGAGGAGGCTCTGGAGAAGTCATGGAAGTCATGGAGACAATCATGAGAGGAGGAGACAAAGGAGCTAGAGAGCAGGAGGTCTTGAGTGGAGCGGAGACGACGGTTTGGGTGATATTTGGAGACAAGATTAGTGATGTAATTTGGGGCAGAGTTGTGAATGGCTTTATATGTTATTATAGTATCAGATTAGTGCAGCGCTAACAGCATATTATAAACATAGAAAAAACCATGTATAAAATTAGTAAAGAAGGTGCAACACAACACACAAATTAAATGATAATCCGCATTGAGTCCACATAAGTCTGCAATTGTTGGTGAGAAAAAACCATAACCAGAAAAGAGACCTTCACCGTCCACACCAAAATCAAAGCCTCTTACCAGATAATGTGACCACCCAAAGGATTGGTCACATAACGCAGTTACCTTGCCCATACGATAAAACGCAGACTCCTAGGTAAGACTCCTCAAATGGTCCAATCAATGAAGCACTTCTCCAGATAACAGGATTTTAAATGGCAAATCTCTCACCAGGCAACAGACACCATATAAGGGAAAAATGCCAGCTCATAGTGTAGTAAATTGATAAAATGAAGTTTACCCATACAATTGCCCATCTTATCAGTATAAACCAGCATGTCAATAGTGATGTTTCCAACCAACAAGATGGCCACTGTCTGTCTAGTACATGACGCCACACGGCGTGACTCCATGTTCATGTGCGCAGTCCCAGTGTTTTGTCATGTTATTGTTAATGTTTTGAATTTTATTTGTTGGGTAATGGGAAGCCAGTGGAGGGATTGGCAGAGAGGGATGGCAGGCATGGAACAGTTGGTAAGGTAGATGAGTCTGGCAGCAGCATTCATGATAGACTGGAGAGGGGATAGCCTCCGATTAGGTAGGCTAATGAGGAGAGAGTTGCAATAGTCAAGGTGAGAGATAACTAGGGAGTGAATAAGTTGCTTAGTGGTTTCAATGGTTAAAAAGGGGCATATTTTGGAGATGTTACAAAGGCGAAGTCTAAAAGATTTGGACAGTGATTGGATTTGGGCCTGAAAGGATAGGAGTCCAGGATTACACCTAGTATCCTGACATGAGGGGAGGGACTGATAGTTGTATTTTTGATCTTGATAGGGAAGTCAGGGGAGGGGGCACGGGCTGGAGGGAATATCATGAGCTCAGTTTTAGTGAACCTACATTTGCAGAGCAAACGTCCAATTTAAAACATATCTAAGCCCAAAGCCAAAATGTAATTTTTTACCAATCCTTAGATATGGCTTCTGCATGGGAACTTTACTTTTCTTTTCACCTGCTGACCCTGTAAACAACACACGTCCTGTCCCTTCATGTCTGCACTCATATCTCCATTGTATATATGGAAGGAGTCATGGCTGTCTGCATATGTTCACATCCATTACATAATGGGTTGATAAGGCTAATAGTTTACACAGTAAAGATAAGGATGTATGTACTGCCTTTTAACTCAGAGGAAGTGACAAGGACACAACATTTCTGGCAAAATCAACAGGTATTTTCTACGCTTGTTGAAAAATTCTATCTAATGCAGCTACCACATCTTAGGACTGGTAAACTGCAATGCATTCCATTTTTGTTTTTAGGTTTAGAAAGGTATTAACTGTGGTCCCACTGCATCCTCAACAACACAGGTGAAAACAGATGCGTGTTCCACTCCAGAAACATAAACAAGATATACCTGTGCTCAAATCCCAATAGCTTGTGCATGCATTTATCTATCAGGTGCTAAACGGGCGTAACCACTTGTTAACACTAGATATCCTTGAAGAACCCTCTGCACACCGCTATATACCCTTTCCAGCAAACTTTGCAATGGAAAATAGGGATTTTTAGTTCATACATATTGCAATACATGTTTAAGCTGGCCAACTAAGGCAAAGTAATACCATTTGGCCAGTCCTACTCTGCTCTGCCTACGCAAATGCTACTGTGGACACAATGCCAATATGGGGCAAACAGTCATAAAGAATTGAGCACAGTTATATCATCTTTCTGTTGCATTGCAGGTCAGTAGCCAGACCTAAACCCCCACTTTGTGTCTGTTTGCCCCATGTTGGCATTCTGTCTACAGTAACTGTTTGCTGGAAAAGGTATTTAGCAGTGTGCAGAGGGTTCTTCTAGGATCACTCCAGAAACATGTCCCCTCGGTCATTCAGGTGCTGCTCTCAACTCATCTATTAATTGACATCTCATTAGTTGTGCATAGCAAATACCAAATACAAGAAGGAAGCCACATTCTATAGTAATAACCATATTACATGTTATTCTCAAAAAGAGCTTAGTTGTAGTGCAAAAAAGCAAAAAAAGAGCTCTTGTAGAGCAAAAAACCCATTTTTAGAGTGGAACATGTAAAATGTTGCTGCTCCTGCACCTCTCCTCCCAATCCCCATTCTCATTGTGACAGCAGGCCATGGATCTTCTCCCCGCACCCGCTGTCCCAACGGATACATCATTTCATTTATTTACAGAATTCTGTGAAAGAATAGACTACAAGTGCCGTCAGCCTTTGCAA